ATATTTCGTTGTCATCTCGGTACGTTCTTCGGGTGGTACATAGGTATTTATACCTATGGCCACCTCAAGACCTGTAGCGAGATGCTGGCGAAATTCATCCACGTCGAAATCTAATCTCATGTAGTCGTAGGTTACGTGGCAGGAGTATGCATTCCCGAATGGGATAGGACCCTTACCGGAGGCATAAGGTGACATTATAACTTCGTATGAAGTTGTTGTGATTGTTGTGTTGTGATTCTGGTTTCAGGAATTATGGACAGAAGGTGGATACAAAACCCGAACAGATGCGCAGACGAATACTTGGATGGAATCGAGGATTTTATTGAGTTTGCACGTAGACACAACCCGGGTGCAACTAGAATCCGTTGTCCTTGTAGGAGGTGCAACAACACGTTATGGGAGACAATTGAAAATGTTGGATTTCATTTAGTAAGGAATGGAATGATTGAGACATATAGCATTTGGAACAATTAGAGCATGCTTCGTCTTCAAATGCCACAAGAGTGGACAATGTTCAACCTATTGTGGATGCTAATGATGAAGTCATGGATATTATACAGGATGTTTTTCCATTTGCATCGACCAACATGAATCAAGAAGAGCAAGATGATGTGCCTACACCAATAGACAGTGCGGAGTTTGAACAATATGAGAAATTGTTAAAAAATGCCAACCAAGAGTTATACCCGGGGTGCGAGAGCTTTTCCGTTCTCACGGCCATTGTGGAGCTAATGCACGGAAAAATAAAGTATCGTATGTCGAACCTGTGTTTCGATTACTTTTTGGGGGTTTTCAAGAGAATGCTTCCGACGGACAATTGTTTGCCGAAAGACCATAAACAGGCGCAGAAGGTGTTGAATGGTCTTGGATTGGGTTATGAAAAAATCCATGCTTGCAAAAACAATTGCATGTTATTCTACAAAGAGCATGAATCGTTGGATACATGTCCTATATGCAAAAAGTCGAGGATATCGATGACATCTCAGAATAGGACGACTAAGATCCCACAAAAAGTCATGCGTTATTTGCCCCTGAAACCTAGGTTGCAGCGATTGTATATGTCGACGCATACTGCCACAGACATGAGATGGCATCAGGAAAAACGGGTAGACGATGATGTGATGCGGCATCCTGCAGATGGGGAGGCATGGAAAGAGTTCGATCGAATGTTCCCAGAGTTTGCTGCTGATCCCCGAAATGTTAGATTGGGACTTGCCACTGACGGATTCAATTCGTATGGGGTTCTAAACCAACACCACAGCACTTGGCCGATTTTCGTATTCCCATATAATTTGCCGCCTTGGAAATGCATGAAAAAAGAATACATGATGATGACTGTTTTGATAACTGAGGATCCTGGGAGGTCAATCGATGTTTACTTAAGGCCGCTGGTTGATGAGCTGAAGGATTTGTGGACAAACGGTGTTCGCACGTACGATAAATCAACTGGGAAGATGTTCACTTTGCGGGCAGCAGTTATGTGGACTGTGAATGATTTCCCAGCATATGCAATGGTTTCTGGGTGGAGCACAAAAGGTTATATGGCATGTCCTGTATGCAAGGAAGATGTAACTTCTGGTTGGCATGCTGGAAAAGTTTGTTACCTTGGTCATCGGAGATGGTTGCCATGGGACCATGAGTGGAGGGAAAAATATAAAGAGTTCGACGGGAACACTGAGCGTCGCCTTAGACCCAGAGAATGGTCTGGTGATGAGATATTGGACCAGCTTAACCGGTTGGATTTTGCTCCCTTTGGGAAAACAGTTAGTCGTATCAGACCTTCTACACATATGAACTGGACGCACAAGCCTATGTTTTTTGAGCTCCCATATTGGTCGAAACTAAAATTGAGGCACAATCTAGATGTGATGCATGTTGAGAAAAATGTATTCGACACATTGGTGGGCACGATTCTAGATATCGAGGGGAAGACAAAGGACACGATCAAAGCTCGTCTTGATTTGGAAAGAATGGGCATACGAAGGGGTTTATGGATGAATAGGGACAATGATAAATCTAGAAGGGATCTTGCATTCTTTTCTATGAAACCGAATGACAAGAAAGAGTTTCTAAAGTTTGTATCGTCAGTAAAGTTTCCCGATGGGTATGCTTCTAATATCGCACGTTGTGTGAATGTTGACGGGGGTAAATTTACTGGACTTAAAAGCCATGACTGCCATGTGTTTATGCAACGCCTACTTTCTGTTGGTATTCGACACCTATTGCCGGAAGATGTAGTGAAGCCAATCATTTTGTTGTCCAGATTTTTTTCCCAACTGACGGCGAAAACTTTGCGAAAAACGGACATGTTTCAGTTGCGCCATGACATTGTCCAAGTCCTATGCAAGTTTGAGATGATATTTCCTCCAGCTTTCTTCACAAGTATGATGCACGTGATGGTTCACTTGCCAGAAGAGGCATTACTTGCTGGTCCTGTCAACTATCGCTGGATGTATCCAATAGAAAGGTATATAATCCTTATCATTTGTGTATGCATCATTATCACATGCTTGCTAATTTGTATCATATTGTTTTATTTTGGCAGGCTTGTCGGAGAGCTGAAAAAAAGTGTACGCAACAGGGCGAAGCCCGAAGGATCAATCGTAGAGGCTTGGGTTCAATATGAGTCGCTTACTTTCTGCGGAATGTATTTAAAAGATGTGGAGACGGTTTTCAATCGTCCTCAGCGCAATCATGATGGAGGTATGAGAAATGAAAAACTTTCTGTTTTTGCCCAAAGCGCACGACCCTTCGGAGATCCTGGACGCGGAGAGTCGTTTTCTAGAAATGACATGGAGGTAGCGCATTGGTTCGTACTGAACAATTGTGATGAGATCATGGGATACTTATATGAGCATGAAGAGATGATGAAGCGAGAACATCCATCACATTTGGTTGCCCAGAAACACCGTGAATTGTTTCCACAATGGTTTTTGGATTCTGTAAGTTATCAGTGTTTGTTATTTGAGAAATATAAATTGTAGTTTTTAATTTTGTCAGACTAACATATGAATGGTTTTGTATAATATTAGGTGAATAAGTTGAAATCATCGAATTCCCCAACTTACAGTGATGAGTTATATAACTTGGCGTTTGGCCCGATTCGCGCTGAATTGTTCTCGGGTTGTAATGTCAACGGTGTCAAATTTTTGGCCGAAGCACGAGATGACAAGTTGTGTACGCAAAACAGCGGTGTCCATGTCCCAGGTGGAGGCGAAAGTACGGACATTGATTTCTATGGCAAACTCACAACTGTCGTGCAATTGCTTTACAAAGATCGATACCAAGTGATCATGTTTAAGTGTCGATGGTTTGACACCAACCCAAATAGGCCGGGAAGTGTTAAAATCGATCATGGCTTACTATCTGTGAACATGAACAGAACTTGGTATTATGACGACCCTTATATTTTGGCAAACATGGCAACACAAATTGTGTATCTAGATGACCCTAAAGCCGGAAGCGGTTGGAACGTTGTTCAAAAGATGGATCACAGGAACGTGTATGCTATACCAGAACTAGACCCAACTGACAACAACGTCAACAATGTAGCTGACCAACGTTTAGAATCTTCAATGGAAAATGATGCGGAAACACTTCGAGATACTAATGTTATACAAGAGCCATTTCAAATACAAGGAGTGTCTTCAATCGAAATACCGATTCAGTCAATTACAATTGACCTCGGTGATCTTCCGCGATATGATGTTGCAGTTGGCCCGAGCAACGACGATGATGTAGTTATAGAGGAGGCGGAGGAGGAGGAGGAGGAAGAGGATTGGGAGACCGAAAGTGATGATAGCAACGATAACGAAAGTTATTATAGTTCAGATGATGAATGATTAATTTTTATTGTAATTTTATTATGTTATTGGACATATTTTGTGTAATGCAAATGTTTTCATATATGTACTTGTTATATCCAAACAATATATATGATACCAAGTGAAACATTATTATTACAATAATTGTAGTTATAAACCATTGGTAAATAAATATAGCCAACTAATTTGTATCATAAAGTTTAAATTTATTTTCACAAAAAATTTTAAAAAAATGAAAACCATATAACCGAAAAAATGAATACAAAGAACATAAGATTATCAACAATCCTTCCATTCTCAAATCGAAAGAAAATATAATAAATCTTACTTTCATACAAGTAATTATATGCAATGATGAATACTTCAGATTAATACTATGTGGTTTGTGCGACGAAGACATAATTGTCGCGCAATTTTTGCGCGACGGATAATGTACACGTCGCGCATACTCTACCATTTGCGCGACAAACAAAAATATACATATATATATTTCTATGAATTATTGAATTATACACACGTATATAGTTGAAATTGACGATCGAAGTAGTTCACTGTATTCACATAGGGTTAAACAGTATAGCTGTAAAAAATCATCAAAATCAGAGTCAAAATAACCGTTAAATCATGACTTTTCGTTTATAACCGTCGAAACGTTTTGTCCCGTTACTTGAGCTCTGAATGTTTTTTTTTTCTCATTTTTGACGTATAAGATCTCGAAGTATAAACAAACATATTTGACGGCTAGATTACTGAAACTAGTTTCCTAGAATGCGTATTCCATAAAAACACAATATTCATAAAAACTGAATAATTTCTTTATACATTCCTTCAGTCTAATATAAGATTATGTGATGTCTTGTACTGTAAATATCTGAAATTGAAGATCGAATTAAATCTCTGTATTCATATAGGGTCAAGAACCGCAGCTGCAAAAAAATTTCAAGATCGGAGCTAAAATCACCGTTGAATCGGGACAATTTGTTTACAACCGTCGAAACGTTTTGTCCCGTTACTCAATCTCTGAATGTTCATTCATTATGATTTTTGACGTATACGATCTTGAACTATGAAAAAAGAAGATTGTCGGTTGGATCATTGAAACTAGTTCAGGAGTTCGGGTTTAGGGCTTAGGGTACAGGTTTTAGGGTTTAGGGTATGGTTTTGCGCGACGAATAGAAGCTTACGCGTCGCGCAAACCTTATGCGACAAACATAATCCATTCGTCGCGCAAAATCAATAAAAAAATTTCCCTCTCCTCTCCGCTCCAGCACTTAGTGAAATTTTTTTATCAAAAGCCAGTTTGCGCGACGAATA